ATTGAGATGGTATTCCTATTTGTATGACATGTACATGATATAAATGTGTATAACTGATGCATGTGTAATTACAATGTAGGATGGTTGGACAGCTCTACACCATGCAAGTAATAATGGGCATGTAGATACAGTAAGAATCTTACTAGATGCATCAGTTGACAAGGATGCCCGAGACCAGGTAATTTAAATATATTGCTGTATTTGTATTGAGATGGTATTCCTATTTGTATGACAGATGCATGATATAAATGTGTGTAACTGATGCATGTGTAATTACATTGTAGGATGGTTGGACAGCTCTACACTGGGCAAGTAATCAGGGACATGTAGATACAGTAAGAATCTTACTAGATGCATCAATTGACAAGGATGCCCAAGACCAGGTAATTTAAATATATTGCTGTATTTGTATTGAGATGGTATTCCTATTTGTAGGACAGGTACATGATATAAATGTGTATAACTGATGCATGTGTAATTACATTGTAGGATGGTGTGACAGCTCTACACCATGCAAGTAATCAGGGACATGTAGATATAGTAAGAATCCTACTGGATGCATCAGTTGACAAGGATGCCCAAGACCAGGTAATTTAAATATATTGCTGTATTTGTATTGAGATGGTATTCCTATTTGTAGGACAGGTACATGATATAAATGTGTATAACTGATGCATGTGTAATTACATTGTAGGACGGTGTGACAGCTCTACACCATGCAAGTAATCAGGGACATGTAGATATAGTAAGAATCCTACTGGATGCATCAGTTGACAAGGATGCCCAAGACCAGGTAATTTAAATATATTGCCGTATTTGTATTGAGATGGTATTCCTATTTGTATAACTGATGCATGTGTAATTACATTGTAGGATGGTTGGACAGCTCTACACCATGCAAGTAATCAGGGACATGTAGATACAGTAAGAATCTTACTAGATGCATCAGTTGACAAGGATGCCCAAGACCAGGTAATTTAAATATATTGCTGTGTTTGTATTGGGATGGTATTCCTATTTGTATGACATGTACATGATATAAATGTATATAACTGATGCATGTGTGATTACATTGTAGGATGGTTGGACAGCTCTACACTGGGCAAGTAATCAGGGACATGTAGATACAGTAAGAATCTTACTAGATGCATCAGTTGACACGGATGCCCAAGACAAGGTAATTTAAATATATTGCTGTATTTGTATTGGGATGGTATTCCTATTTGTATGACATGTACATGATATAAATGTGTATAACTGATGCATGTGTGATTACATTGTAGGGTGGTGAGGGACATGTAGAAGATTCTCTCAAATAAAAGTCCTTTAGAAAATTTTCCTACAGGGTTGCAATCCGAGAGTTGATTACCGTGGTAGTACAGGGGAAGGGGGTGATATTTTATACCAGTATTATATAGTAAGTAATTTAGTCTTGTTCACTGTTTGTTGTAGGATGGAATTAATGCACTACATGTAGCAAGTTACAATGGACAAGTCGACATAGTAAAATTGTTATTAGATGCCTCTGTTGTCAAAGATACCCGCACCAAGGTAAATTAATGTAATATAATGTATTGAGCTTCATACTCAATTATATCACATCCTAGTTATATGTATGTCGGGGCGAGATGCAAATCATAGGCGTGTTTGTTAATTAAGTTGAATAGTTGAATTGTCTAGTTAGACATCAAAATGTTTTCTATAATTATTATTCCATTTGCTGTATTATTTCTGTGCAGCAATATCTTGATGTTTAGTTTGAATTATTCATATTTCTATTATATCTAACATTGTATTTGACTTGTGACGTTATTACCACGATCAGTGATAGGTTCTAAACCAATCTATCACTACTTGAGTTTCGTGTCGTGTGACACTTGAGTGTCTTGCGTTATTATTTTGTTGTTTCAAGCCGATGTTGATGTTTCATAGTTCAATAAATGTCAATCCTGATATGAAACTTTCTGACTTCGTCAATGTTCTGTCTCATAGAATACAGTGGCTATACTTCGAGCCCAATCACAGCCACAATGTATTTTTACATTTGAACTTTTCAATTGAACAAGAACGGGAATGTGTGCTATGGGTAAGACAATGCAAATTATTTTGGCAAACCTCTCCGTCAGAACCCTATATCATCTAATAGTAGTTAGTGCTGGATACTAATTCTGCTATGCTAAAACCCTTTGCATGTACCTGTTAATCGTAGGTCAGTAACATATTTTATATTCTTAGGGTGGCAACACAGCTCTTCATATTGCTGCAGAAAAAGGACATCCTGAAGTTGTTAAACTTCTCCTTGATGCTGGTTTACAAAGGTATGCAGTGAATGAGGTATGTACTAGATTTCACTGTATAATATCAATGTGCACTTGCTGAGATTCAATTGTGATAGCAAAACTATGCATGTATTGTTCCTGCATGCCTAAACTATTTTTGTACTGAAAATAACAGGATAAAAAGATTCCACAAGATATGGCAAGGGAGGCTGGTCATGACAATATTGTGAAACTTCTAGAAGAAACCTCAAAAGATGATGCAAATAAAAAAGTAAGAATCATTAACTATATTGATATTTAATTTGCATGTATGTATACACACAACATGAGTAACAAAGAAAAAAAACACGTTAGTGCAATTGTTTTAATTCGATTGTTCTTCTTTCAATAACTACAAAATAATAAACTATGAATGCTGAGAAAGGAGCTCTGCAGTCAGTAGATGCAGAGATCAAGAATTCCCTACATGAGCTGAAATATTGGGATTGCAATTCCATGTCGTGCTGGCTCAGCCACACAACAAGAGGTGTCAAAGAGAGGATGGAGATGGCAACAGCCAAGTGTTGCAGAACTTTTAGTGAATTCTGAGTGCCACTAATCAACCCATGACCAATTTAAATGTCTAGCAAGAACCAATGTTTTTTTAAAATATTTTTATCTTTGGTGAATTCTGTTTGAGGGCGTGCATCACCTGAATCAAAGGAGAGACTAACATGTGGTCCTTTGTTTATTACTTAGCAGCTGTGTACATGTGGGTATATTCTGTTTGTATTTTGGACATTTTAATGTTTTCCAAGTGATTTCTCTAGGTGCAATCCAAATACAGTAGGTGTGTCTTGTTTACCTGAGATTTGTAAGAGTTTTGAGCTGGCCAACATGTTAGTTATGTTTTGTGCTGTTGATTACTGGCAGGTTGATTTCCCATTTTTGAGCCATGTTTTCAACTTTGTTTATCATTTTCATATAGCAATCTTGTCATATGTTAACAGTATTGTCTATGGAGTTTCAATTTGTGGTATGAGCCCTGACGTGATGCTACATGCTGTTGGCAAAAAGAAAACTGAATGGTATTGACCACAGGATAAAGTCCAGTTGGCTAATGACAACGATGATTGAAACTAAAAAAAAATAGATTTTACATGTAAATGTCTCCGCAAATCCCCACTTGTTTCAAAAATCTTGTGATTGAACCATTTGATTAGTTTTGTCATTCTAAGATGTGTATAATGTTGTCTTTCCTATTTCCTCGCTGTTCAATTTCCTCAATTCAATCTTTGACTTGCCTGCATGGACTGATCGCATTCACCCTTCACATATATCATGTCACACAATGCATTTGTTGCATGATCAAACACAAGACGTTCTACCCATCCAGAACCAAACCATATTAATACTTGGTGCATATATCGGTACACGACATAATGAATCTGATGCATGTCATTTTGTTTACAGATGAGAAGTTTTCTTAATGAATTCTGCTGAGCTTGTGTTGTACCTCTGATGTGCTTGTTCGCATAATGTCACTACAAGTTGTACATCATATGGGCATGCATCGTTGTATTTTGTACGCAGTTCAAAATTGTTAATTATTCATTTGCATTCTTTTCATTTGCATAACTTTGTTTGTTTAATTTCTCCACTGCGCATGTTTCTTGTAGCCAATTCGCTTCGTTCTGTTTACATGCACTGTTTACATCGCACGCTGTTCGTGCCCAGTCATTTCTGTTCGGGTTATTTTCAATTTACTTTCTCGCTATGCCAAGAAGTAAGCGGCGCTCAACATGCTCTGGCTGCAAGCTCGATGTGGAAGCTCTTACCTGGGGCAAGCACGGAAAATTCTGCACCGGTCCACCACCGGAGGAAGAGAATTGCCGTTCACCGAACAGCTCAACTGCCGTCCCTAAGCCGTCTCCTTCCACCTCGACGCACCAACGTCAC